TAGGAAGTTTGCAATGGGCAGATGAGCATTGTGGGGGAAGTTCAGGAGATTAAGATATGAAGATCAGAACATCCAGAGTAACTGTAGAGAGTGAATTCTGTTTCAAAATGCCAGTCCACCTCGGCCCATTTTCATCTATAACAGTACTAAAAATGTACACAAATCGGCAAATGCCACTTGTAAACAACAACAACAAAACCAGGTTTATATTCTTGTAGTCTCTCCTCTCCGCCAGGCAACGGTGCAGCGCAGCCACCCCTCAGGTACCCTGTGGTCCTCCCACCGGCTATTGGAGCCATAGATTTCATCTCCCCACCCCCGTCCGTTTTTTAGATGGAAAGTCGCGCTGCCAGCAAGTCCTTGAAAACCTCGGAAGGGAGTTTAGCTTCCCTCTGCGTATGAGGAAAAAAACGTTCCTCAAGCTGTTACTAGGGAAATCAAGGCAGGAAGTCCCACCCCCGGGTTTGGGCGCTTCCGGTTTGGTAACTAAGGGCGCCGTGCCGTTGCTAGGGCTCGGGTGGCAACTTTGCCCGTGCTTCAGCGCAACGCGGGAGCTGCTCACTCGCTGTACCCGAGCGCAGGTTTTTGTTTTGCTGTGTGTGAGGGGGTTCCCTGTCCGTTTGCCATGAGCAGCGAGTTCCTGGAGGAGCTGCATTGGGAGGATGGGTTTGCCATCCCAGTGGCGAACGAAGAGAACAAGGTCCTGGAGGATCAGGTGAGGACCAGGTGAAGGCGACCCGCAGGAAGAAGGGAGGGTCTGTTGGCGGGTCCTCTGGTGGGCAGCGCTACCGTGGCGGTTTATTTCTCTCCTCATCTCATCGATTCTGTCTAACGCTCGCCCGTGCCATCTTCTTCTTCCCTCACCCAGCCTGTCCTTTTCGGTTATTGTTAAGCATTCATTTTTTTTTTTAAATTGAAACAGTAATTGACATCTCGGGGTTATAAAACCCGAGTGGCTATTCATTTCCTCCCTCCTGCTCTATGTATTCATCGCAAGCCTCCTGGGCAGGAAAGGAAAGACTGGATCCCATGCCCGCTTTTTCCTTCTTTGAAATTAAGCGCTACTTTGAGAGGGATTTCTGAGGTTTGCCCAGCAACAGTTATTTGAGCATGTTTATAAACAAAACATGTTTGGTCGACATCTCTTTATGAGCTTCTGCTTATGATGTTTAAAGTGACTGACAGTGACTCAAGATGTTTTCAAGAGGGATAGTTCAACAAGAATGTAAAATATGAAGTGCAGAAATTTCAAGTGGGCATCAAGTTTTCACAGTATGACAAAATATTTTACGTTGTAAGGACGAACTTAGACCAACTCCAGTTCTTAGTACTTGTTTTTAAAGAATTGCAGCTGTCTCAGCAAACTTTGAAAAACATTTAGCAGTCAGTCTTAAGTTCCTGGTTATGGTGATGTTTTGTGTAGAAGAGAATCCAAGAAATACACATGATGCTTATGCAACTTTACAAGATAGAAAATTTTCTCTCCTTTGACAAATGAAAATGAAAATCCCTAAAGCTATCCTTTGAAAAGGATGGAAAACACTTTTCAGAATATTCTGTCCTATTTACCCAATTTAAAAGGCTGCTTCATTTTTTTCTTTATCTAAGAAAGACAACATTAAGAAATGTAAGAGATCTAGCATTGAATTTTGAGAAATAAGAAGTATCCAGTCCCGGGTTCAGGTCCTATTTACTCACCCTGAACCTGTTTCATCTTCTCTAAAATAGAGGTAAATAAAAATAACTACCTCATACTATTGTTATAAGGCTCATAATGT